GTGCAGGGTGAGCGTGTTTTGTAACTGCTCCGCTCTGCGGAACCCTAATCCGAAGGGATTCTGGTGAAGATAGCCCACAGCTGCGCTGCTGCAAATGAGATTGAGGTGGCTCTGAAGTGTCCTAAATACGTTCTGAACGGTCATCTGATTATAGGGCAACGGTTTACAGCCACTTAATAGGAGGTCTAAACTTGGGGAGGGGACCCTGTTTTAGTCTTTCTGACTGTGAGGTTGGTTTGACCGAAGGGAAGGACTATGGCCACCCTCGAATGCCCCTGAGCAGGTGGGTCCTCTCTGAGCTCCCAAAAGGACACGCAATGAAATGGCAAATCTCCATCCTCCTCTGTCTCCTTTGCTTTAACAGGTCCTGGGGAGCTCTCCTGCTTCAGAGCCAAATTGTGCAAGATTTTCTCCAACTTCAGGTTTCCTGGCCTGGATGAGTAACTGGTTTGGATAAAACCTGTGCCAGTCCCAGGCTGTTTTCCAAGTCTGTGCCGGGCACAACAGCGAGTGCTGCAGGTGTTGGGGCCGGTGGGAGGCTCGTGGTTGGGTCTTGCCCTGGGTTACCCCGGGGGAGGCTGCAGCCATGCGTGGCTTTGCTGGCGTGCCCAGGAGTCTGTCTGTATCCGTCTGCTTGCAGGGGGGAAGCTGGGAATGTCTCCCTTGGCATCTTCATGTTATAATATCTCCTACCTACACACCGAATAGCCTCTAAGAATAAACTGGTGGTTTCTGTGGTGCTTAAGCACAAAATTCTTCACGTGTTTTTGGGAAGTGCCCCATGCACGAGGCTAAGACAAAAAGCGTGGAGAAGGTGTGAAACGCGATACAACATCTGTCTTCCGAGTGGGATGCTTCCCTGACTGCAGCTCTGGGAAGTCTCCCAAAGCTCCCTCCGTCCTCAGCCTGGCCCCCCACACGTGGGGAAATCCAGACTCGGGCCCTCCGCTGCCCGGCTCACCCGCTGCCCGTCTCCAGCTGACAAGAGCTTCTCCTGGAGCGGTGCCTCCCTCTGAGCTCTCGCCCCTTTGGAGGAATGAGCTGCGGGAAGGAAAGCAGCGTCGGGCTCTGCCAGCCAGGCACGGCCAGGGCTCTGTGCCCATTAACCAGTTCAGGGGTTGCTTGTCCCTGCTGCCGCGCTCCCCTTCGGCAGACGGAGAAAATGGCTGTGGAAAGCACTTTGCAAGGTGCAAGGAACGCAAAACCCCGGAGTGGCTGGTTTTCCCCTTACCCCGCGACACAGTAATCTCAGATCGGGGACAATGAGACCTTTCAGATGAGCGTGTGATTTCCCATCGTGTTTATATGATAATGGCCTTCAAACCACAGGCAGTAGACCGGTGGTCTCCCACCACATAGAGCATCCGCTTGTGGAAAAACCAGCTCTGAGAGTATCAAAAAGGCTCCCCGTGCGGGGGAGTTTCACAAGCTCGGTGCAATTGCAGCGGGACTCACTTTGACCCATATATTTATTTTTCAAGATGCTCATCCCCAGGGGAAACACAGCAGCTGAGAAACGCTTGTGTAAACTGTGTAATCACTGCGGATAAAATCATGTGGGTTTGGCACGTGTACGTATCTGTCTCCGTCGAGCTCATGGCAAGGACCCACGTTCTCTTTCCGTGCCACGTGCCGGTTCCTGCCGTCTGTCCGTGCCTCAGTTCCGAACCGCGGCTTGGCTGCGCCGCCAGCATCACCTGCTCAGTGGTGATCTCCTCTCTTCTAACTTCTGAAAAAGTGGGCTGTATGTAGAAGATCATTAAATAGTTGATTTAAATATAATTTAAGGAAAACCAAATTACTTAAAGCAAAACAAGCAGGGTTAGATTGTATGATTCCCAACATCAAACCCTGAATGCCGGTGTTGTACCTTCCGAGAGGCGATCGGTTAGAGCAGGGGGGAGTTTGCGTGTTTGTTTTACGTTCTTCCTTGGAAGATTAAAGCATCTCTCAGAAAGCTGAACTTCCGGCGGGTTCTGCACCAGGCCGGGCTGGTTTATTTCTTATTAACCTCAAACCTGCTTTGAGCATCATCTGGTTTTCACCTTCAGATAACGTGGAAGACAGAACTTGAGTTTATTGCTTCATCACTTCCATTGCTGTGTGACGGGGCAGTTACGAGACGTGTGGGGGAAGTTGGGCCACGTCGCTGTTGCTGGGTGGTGGGAAGGAGCGGAGGTGCCAGTGCCAGCAGTGGGCACGGGAGGTGGCAGTGGTGGTCGGTAGCTCTCAGTGGCATGGGGCCCATGCTGTCCCCGCAGCTGTGCTGGCACAAGCAGAGTGCCGACCCGAGACCGGGCTGCGGAGGTGACCCGCATGAAACTGGCAACCCCAAAATGTCAACGTTGGGTGTTTCCCAACACACCTTCCTCTGACCAACTGACAGCGCGGTGCTGGCGACAGTCACGGGAGGGCTTGTTTTACTGAGAAGTTCCAATCAGCTTAATAAACTGAGAGCTGTTGTGAATTCAGTTCTCTTCCAAACCAAACGTTCCGACCGAAGGTACGGCGGTGCCGTCACAGGAGTGCTTGTGCCTGTTCAAAGAATTATAAAGTGGCCTTGAAATTTAAAGTGCTTTTTTTATCACAGTGTCAGCTTGTAACTTTTTGGGTGTTTAACTAGAATATGCACAAGAGTGGTGCATGTTAAACTGAAAATATATATGCAAATTAGTTTGATATTTCTTCCAATTTTGCTTGAAGCGAACTCAAAATCTAAGTTCTTAGTTCACTTTCAGCAAGTCAGAGAGCACGTGGCTTTCAAGCTGCTGCACACCTGGGTAGGGTCAAAATTTCTGGGATAAAGAACCTTTAAAGAAGCGAATCCTACGGTGTTTAAGACCCTCAGACTAATGCACTTATCAGGCAGACGGAGATCCCAGTTAACGCCGTCCTTGTTTCCCCTCCAGAGGATGCTCCTCCTGGTCCTGTGGAGTCTCTGGGATGGTCTTTGGTCGGAGTCAGGCTGCAGCCAGCACCAGGTGGTGGCGGTGATGCCATGCCAGAGATGTGCTTCCCTCGGTTTGTTCCACAGGGAACAGCCTCGCTGGCAGAGGGCTGGTGGAAACCAGAACATTGGTGTCAGGGTTATTTTTAGCTTTTAATGGTGAAATATCAAGCCAATGTAAGGAAAAGATTTCAAGAGCAGCAGAGTGGCGCAGCGGAAGCGTGCTGGGCCCATAACCCAGAGGTCGATGGATCGAAACCATCCTCTGCTAGCCCGTTTGTGTTTTGCCCTCGTGAGACCTCACCTGGAGTACTGCGTCCAGTTCTGGAGCCCCCAACATAAGGAGGACATGGACCAGTTGGAGAGGGTCCAGAGGAGGGCCACGAAGATGATAAGAGGGCTGGAGCACCTTTCCTATGAGGACAGGCTGAAAGAGTTGGGGCTGTTCAGCCTGGAGAAGAGGAGGCTCCGGGGTGACCTTATAGCGGTCTTCCAGTACCTCAAGGGGGCCTACAAGAAAGATGGGGAGAGGCTGTTCAGGAGGGCCTGTTGTGATAGGACAAGGGGTAATGGTTTTAAAATAGAGGGAGGTAGATTCAGGTTGGATATTAGGAAAAAATTTTTTACCATGAGAGTTGTAGAACACTGGAACAGGTTGCCCAGAGAGGTGGTGGATGCTCCATCCCTGGAGACGTTCAAGGCCAGGTTGGACGAGGCCCTGAGCAACCTGATCTAGTTGGAGATTTCCCTGTTCCTTGCAGGGGGATTGGACTAGATGACCTTTGAAGGTCCCTTCCAGCCCTAACCATTCTATGATTCTATGATTTGTGTGGCTCAGACAAAGCTGGATCCTGCTTAAGGACAATGGAGCAGGAACAGCTTCAGAAGGTACAGTGGCATGTGTAGCGTGATGGAATTTTGTCTCATCCGCTGACCACGTGGAATGGACAAGTAACACATGAGCCAGCTCTTGTTCTGATACTCAATAGGAGCATCACTTTGTTAGCTAGAGAAACGTAGGGGTGTGTAACTGATGGAATTGTTAGGTGTCAGCTGAAGGTATTAAACAGAGCCGGACTGTGGTAAAGTGGCAAAAATACACCTCTGCCTTTTTAACATCTGGAAGTAGACAAAATATTTCCTTATAATAGTGTAAGGGTACTCGTCTCTAAACAGTGCTCTCTGGCTATTGGGATGGAAGTGATGATTAAAAATCACTGTGCAGCTTGAAGTCAAACTGCTATATCCTCGTACTCGTGCCACCGGTGTCCTTGGCATCCCGAAAGTACGGGCTGCCTTTGCTTCTGGAGCTCATCACAGGAGCAGCTGTTGCTTGGGTTTGTGGCAGCTGCTGGGAAGGATGGGGAGGTCTGACTTGTTGAGCAGAGCCTCAGGCTGGGGGTCAGGAGGTTTCGGCCAATTCTGCTTTCTTCCACATCCCCTATTGCATCCTCGTTATCTTCTACGCCTGTGCTTCCTGTCGCTGACTCAGCGATGAGAAGCAGTGGTGTCCCCTGGGCTGCCTTCCAGCCACTGCCACGGAGCCTCGTGGGGAAGTGATGGGAGATACAGGGGCTGAGCAGTGGGATGGTGCGAGACTGTGTCCGTGTCTAAAATACTGTTTTCCTTTGTCTCGGGCTCTAGAGTGATGTTGCCAATCAGCTGGGGATGTCCAGCTATGTGGAACCTCTGTTCGCAGCTGCCTACTACGTTGCACCCACGTCCGATGAAAACGTCACTGTGATGGACACAGAGTTCAGCGACGTTCCCATCCGTCTGTACCTGCCCAGAAAGGCATCTGATGGGCTGCGAAGGGCCGTGGTCTACTTCCACGGTGGAGGATGGTGCTTAGGAGACGCAGGTAAGGTCTTCTCTGCTGGTCCTGGGGGTCCATATGGAAGATCTCAGTGGCCCGTGGTAAGTGCTGCCTTTCGTTTTACAGGAGTTGCCAGAGGGAGGGTTCAGGGAACTGGTGTTGCACCAGTCAAAAGCAGGTGGAGGTCTTGGGAAGTCACCTGAAAGCTTCTGCAAAGAGGAACGTGCTGTTGTATGTGTGTCTGTTCTCAAACATACTGGAGGATGTTCTAAGTGACTCATTTCGTTTCAGGCATGAAAACCTATGATCATCTGACCAGGTGGACTGCCAACATGTTAAATGCTGTTGTGGTATCAGTCAAGTAAGAGAGATTCTCCTTCTAGATGGGATGAGGGTTTGGAATGAATTAATCTATTGCAATTCACCTAATTTTGCAATATCTTTTTCTTTTTATCATGTGCTTTCCTGCTAGCTTTAAGTGTTTGTAAGCAAAAGCTGTCAAGGTTGCAGTGGTGAACTGTGGTTGGTGGGTATTTTGGATAGTGCTTTATGAAGTTGGGTGGGTAATGAAACGTCTGATCCTCCAGGATAGACAGATAGTTCCCATTTTTCTGGGCTCAGGAAATAACTGTTCACCAATGAGGGCAGATGTTAGCAAGCCTTTCTCTTTATTAGTGGCAGGAGGTAACACACTTCTGCTTGCCTCTGACAGCTACAGGTTGGCACCTAAATACCATTTTCCCACTCAGTTCGAAGACGCATACTCGGCCACGAAGTTCTTCCTCCAGAGCAGTGTCCTCTCCCAGTACGGGGTGGACCCGGATCGGGTCTGTGTCGCGGGAGACAGCGCAGGTGGCAACTTGGCTGCGGCCGTGGCACAACAGGCAAGAAAAAACAACTGCTTTGCTGGCTCGGAATGATTTTGTTTTGTCATGTCATCAACCCTTACCAAAGACTAACAAAAGCCTCTGCTCGAAGCAAGCGCAGCTCCCAGGCGTCTCCCGTGCCCGCAGGGTGCTGGGCAGGCTGCCAGACTGGCACGCAGGGCTCCGAGTTTCCAGGCCAGCAGATTTACTTAACCCATTTAACGGCATCAAAGTAGCTTTGGCACTATTAGTTCCTCCAAACCTTTATACCCTAAAAAAAGGCGCTCTGCCCTGTAATTAGGGCGGATATCACTCTGTCAGCTCCCAGGCGTCTCCCGTGCCCGCAGGGTGCTGGGCAGGCTGCCAGACTGGCACGCAGGGCTCCGAGTTTCCAGGCCAGCAGATTTACTTAACCCATTTAACGGCATCAAAGTAGCTTTGGCACTATTAGTTCCTCCAAACCTTTATACCCTAAAAAAAGGCGCTCTGCCCTGTAATTAGGGCGGATATCACTCTGTTCTCAAGCATGTTCTGCCTGTTTCAGGTATGTTGTTTGAAAAGGGAATTTCAGCAACTTAACTCATATAGACAGAATTAACAGCAAAAAAAAAAAGTCCAATCAAACGACTAAACGTTCCGGTGTCATTGATCCCACACAGTTCAGGGCCTTTTGCGCTTCTCACTCGGGTTCATTCGACAAAGTCAGCGCGATGTTCTCGCTCTCTTGAGAAGTTATTTGGGTCGTGATGAGTCTCGCTTGGAAAGGTTGTGGATTTTCTGTGGACGCTGAAGGCAGAAGATGAGGGAGAAGGTGGAAATTTATTAGTGAAGAGGGAAAAAGGATGGCATATAAGAAATGTCAGTGTTCAAGTCATCACATTTTATTTTGCATATATCTAAAATGCACAGAATCGTAGTTGCGTGAGTTATAGCACCTCCGGGTTAAAAAACCAGCAGGTGGATAAGCTTTAAATGGTGTGTGAAACCATTAAAGGAGCCCCAGAAACCTGCCGTTATTAAGAAATAGGAATATAATTTTCCTATAGCTATAGAAAAAGCATTTGTTGTACTTAGGAAAGCATAAATGCCTCAAAGCCTCAATGCTTCAAAAAGCATATTTCTCAAATACTGTTGTCCTTCAACTTAAGAAATAAAATGAAATTACATTTGATGTTGGAGAATTTTTAATGCAACACGTTGTTTTAGGGGACCTGCCTATGAATTTAGAATTTCTTTAAATTAATCTATCCTAGTTTTATTGATAATCTTATTTTTCTTATGTCATAACGTATGTGTTAATTACTTAAAGTCTTCTATCAGTGTGAGACAACCAACACCACTTGACTGACTTTTTGTAATTATTTCTATTTTCTCCTCCAGCTGTTGGAGGACCCAGAAGTCAAAACTAAACTCAAAGCCCAAGCTTTGCTCTACCCTGCTCTTCAAACCCTTGACCTGAACTTGCCATCTTACCGAGAAAACGAAAACAAGTTCCTCTTACCCAAGTGGGTTATGGTCAAGCTCTGGAGTCAATATTTCACTTCTGATTCGTCTCTCAGGGAAGCGATGGCCTCCAACAGCCACGTCCCAGCTGAATCGAGCCACTTACTTCAGTTTGTAAACTGGAGCAACCTGCTGCCTGAAGAGATGAAGAAAGGTCACGTTTACACCAGTTTCACCCATGGAAGCTCTGAGCTTGCGCAGAAGTACCCAGGGTTTCTGGACCCGAGGGCGGCCCCGCTGCTGGCGAGCGATGCCCAGCTACGCGGGCTGCCCCTCACCTACGTCCTCACCTGCGAGTACGACGTCCTACGGGACGACGGAGTCATGTACGTGCGGCGCCTCGAGGCGCTGGGCGTTCCCGTCACCCACGATCACGCCAAGGACACCTTTCACGGGGCGATGGCGTTTATCTCGGGTCCCTACGCGTTGGCTGTAGGGCAGCGGCTGATGGACAGATATATCGAGTGGTTAAACGAGAATCTATGAGTCGAGAACGCCCTGGGGTGCCTGGCTCGCGTTCGCTGGCTGCGATCGGGGAGCGTAGGAGAACCGGAGCTACGTGAGGCTGGGGGCGTGATTGCCATCTTCATTGTGTTGCCCAGCGGCAACTGGATTGCAGCATTTCTCTTCATCTCTGGCAGCAAAATCAGTCTGATTCTAACCCAAGTGTTCTTCCAGTGCTGTCCTCTGAGCTCGGAACCCCATAAACCGCCGGGACTGCCCTGGGATTTCCCTCCTGGCCAAGACCAGAAGGGTTGGTGTGCCCGACCCCTGTCCACACGCTGTGCACAAGCCTTTGCCTGGCCCAGCGCTGGCACTTGGTGTCTTGTGTCGGTTGCTTCATGTTTCTTCCTGTCGCAATGTCTTCATGTCGCAGGCTTGTGCAAACGGGCAAGGTCGCCGTTTGCCCGTGCTCCCTGTTCCCGTTGGTGGGATCCCACGGGAAGTGCCAGTGAGGCCCCGCTGTGGCTGTCGGGCGATGGGGTGAGCAGGGTGCGGGGACCCAACTTCACGGGCTGCCGTGCTGCGCTGTCAGCTCTCGCCCGCACAGTGCACGGGAAAACCGAGCAGGATGGCTGAAACAGGGCAGATGTTGGGGGTTTGGGGGTTTGTTTGGCTTTTTAAAAACCATCTGTCTTACTCATCACTCCCTTTAATCCCTGCGCTAGAAGGAAATAGTGTAAGAAAACAGCACTGGATATTCGTTAGAAAAAGGAAGACTGAAGGTCCTGGCCTTGCAACAGCACTGCTCTCTGTTTTGTGTTCTACTTATTTCATAAATTGTGTGTTCTAATTATCCTTAAAATTGTTTAGCAGTTTTTACATCTGAATTTTTAAAAATAAAATTAGCTTAGTAGTTTTACAGACTTGAGAAAGAAACACAATTCAGCTGTCAGTCTCGAACAAATATCCTCTATATAAACGTTTTGTGTGTTAAATATAAACCTTAAAAATCTGAATGAGGAACGCACACCTTGGTTGGCTGTTGGTTTTAAACTGATCACAATGCACCACAAACATGTACTTCTAGTATCCTGCTTTTTTCTTTTGCATAAAAGATAATGAACCTTCAATAACTCTGGGTTTTTTGCAGAGTGTGTGTGCAGCCTCTTTAGATGGAATGTGGATGAAATGATTGCTATGTTTTTCTTTTTCATCTTTATTATGTGAAATGTATAAATTAACCTTGTCTTTGATGCCAATGCAAAGTATTTTTTGTCCCTCAAGTATCCCATTTATCAGAAAGGAATGGCGAGTCAGCCGTAGGACACAGTAGCTCTTGCAAACAACCAGGACCAAACCTGGGGAGATGTTTTACTTCTGCTCTTACCGTTAACGTGAACACCTGGTGATGCTCGACTGCGGTGGTTGAGGAGAGAAGCAGAAGTGGTTGTGTAGGTGTCCTTTAGCAGCAGAAGGGCGCTGAAGCCTGCGGTCGGGACGGGGAGCAGCGGGGCGCTGAGCCTGGCGGTGGGGAGACCTGGTGGTCCGGGGCTCCCGCTCGCCCCGGGACATGGGCTCCAAGAACCGGGTCTGGTGTTGCAGCAGGAGCATCTATTTCTCTACTTCTCCATCCATCCTTGAAACGGCGCCAGCCTCGCTGCCAGCGTGCCAGGCACGAACCGTACCGTGGGATTAAAAAGCACCTTGCGGAACCCCGTGCACAGCAGCACAATGTTTGCGTGTCCTTGGCACACGCGTGTGCTCGTGCAGCCTCCCAGGGAAGTTATTTCTCACGGTGCTCTCCACAACGTGGCTGGCTCTCAAGGGAAGAGTGTGTTTTGAGCTAGAAGACAGGGATTGTGACCCGTCCCCCTTCCCTGCACTGATGTCCCCAGTGCCCGTGAATGTTGCCTGAATGAAAATATTTAAAAGCTGGTAAATGAGAAGCCAGTATTATTTATCGGCCACGTGGGAAATTTAAAAGCAGCTTCTTTAGTGCTTAAATATTAGCTGATTTATTGCCTCGCCTTCGGAGGAAAGCTAGGATAGCTTTTCATATCCCAGACACTAATAGGGTTGATATTCACTAACCTTAAAGTGCATTACAATGAATGGAGGGAAGGAAAAAAAGGGGGGAGAAAAAAGGTATTTTTAAAAGCTGAACTCTGTTTATTTCTCCTATTTAAAAACCATCACGGTGGTATTCAGGCTTTCACTGACGCGTATCATGACCTTGCATTTAGCATCTTTACTGAGCTTATTCATGGAGCCCTAGTTACCTTCAGCTGCCATTTGTATTTCATAGAAATATACATTTATAAGTGTAGGACACACATTTACGTATGTTGCTTTGTATAACTCCAAAAAATTTCCACATTTTAAATAAAATACATGTTGTACTTTAGAGAAACACCTGTAGCTCTGTGGGGCAGAAGCCCCAGAACACATCAATCTGGAGGTCTTGGGGTGGCAGAGCCCAAGCTGGGTCTTACCCCCCTCCCTCCTGCGTGGCTGGGCTGCTGTCCTGGGAGGGGGAAGAGGAGGAGGAAGGCTCCAGGGTAAAGGTTCTGTGCAGCAGCAGAGAGCAGCGAAGGCTCTTCCTCCTGGGAGGTGGGAGTTGGAAAAAGGGCTTTATAGCTTTGGGGGAGCAAAAGAAATCTGTATGTTGGACTTCTTGAAACATACGTTATTAATGAAGGTCTATTTCTCCCAGGAAGAAAAATGAATTGAATAACTGAAGCAATTTCATGTCTTTCCTCATTTTCAGGCCCTGCATATAATGAGTGCAATTCCAAATAACAGATGGCAAAGTGCTATGGGGAGCAATTGGATACGAGACGTGTGTGATGGAGGCATTTTATACAGATAGCACCCTCCACACAGTCGTTACACTGCAGGCACGCTCGGAGGCTGCTCTCATAAAAGCAGAATTGTGGGCAGCAGATACACGGGGGGGAGCGGATTCATTTGGGGTTTATCTGCTCTTTATTCACGCCGTTGTTTGCACACAGCGATTCATAAACGCAGGTCCCTTCCCCAGCGGCGCCCAGCACCGCGCTGCGCACAGGAGCTGCCGTGGCCCCAGCCCCAGAGGCACCCCGAGGCCTGGAGAGCAGCGATGGGATGCGGTTTTCCGGCAGGGAGTTGCCAAACACGATGACTGCGGCTCGGGGACTGCAGCGGAGGAGAAACGGGCCGCGTTTATTCCGGAGCGTAGGGAAACCAGGTACTGCTGGGCTAATAAAACAAGCCACAAACATCAACATTTAATTCTAGTCCTTCTTCGTATCGAGGGTAGGAACAGCACAAGGCTGTCGCGTTCCCAGGAACAGGCTGTGCAGCCTCTGCCTGGCACCGTTGGGGCTGGGGGATGGCAGCAGCGTGTGCACCGCAGCTGTCATCCCAAAGTTCTCTTCTACTGGTTCACAGTGGCCGGGGCAAGGTACTAATTAATCTCCTCTAGTCACAATTTATAACGTAAAAGAATATACCCACCTTCCACTTTGCTCACAGGGACGAATTCCGAGTGGGGATAAACATCCCCTGTTTAATGGGTCTGCAGGAAAAGCTCCGCCTTTCACTCCAGGTCAACCTTAATGGCTCATTCCAATCAGTCGAATGCGCATACATCATAATAAACCATTAAATATGCATGGCTCATTTAATAGGCCTCAGTCTAATATAAATTGACTAATGGGTATTTAATGACAGCAAACAAGCCTGACTCCAGCTGCATTTCTTCTTTAAAGCCCGCAGGACGCTAAAGAACCCGGTGGTTTAACAGCACGGCATTAATGGACAGCCCTTCTCTCCTGGTCTAAACGCCCCGTTTTTCCAAACTTGCTTCAAATGGGCTGGGAGCTGCAGGAGCAAATCCAGGAGGCACCGTTGCAGCAGCTGGCCCCAGAAACACCGCGGGTTCCTACCAAAGCCGCGGGACGCGGTTCCGTCATCGCCGGGACTGTTCGCGCTTTGGGTGGACGGCGCTCGCGTTGGGCTGGTCCTCAGTGGACAGATTTGCACTGACGACGTTCCTTGAAAGACCAGTCAACGGTAATAAAGGAGTGTGGTATGGGGGTGCTGTAGGAACGAGGGTTCCCAGGTGTGGGATGGATCTCCCTCCTGCCAAGTTGCTATGGCCATGTGCATGGTGGCCAGGGCCACCTCCTGCTGCTCCTGTCCCCTCTGGCCCTGGCGCTGCTGCACGGGGGCTCCCACGGGACACTGCAGCTTGTGCGTGGGCAGAATCTCTCCTGCCCATGGGGCTTTTAATGCACCTTTGGAGCGCTCGTGCTTTCCACCCTGCCTCTCTAGTGTGCCCCCACCCCAAAATTGTGCCTCTCTCCTCCCTTCTGCATGCAGCTCTGAGCTGGAAGGTTAGACTTGCATAAGCAAATGTAAATGTAAGTGCTCGAGTACTGACTTTGCAACTTGTGTTAACTTGTCTGTTAACATCTCTCTGAGATACCTCGTATCCCTCAGAACACCCTTTAAATCCCTCTGTGCCATGCAAGGTACAATTAGGGCACCCGGAGAGCGCTGGGTTTCTTAAGCCAAGCTCGTGGGGTGCAGCGCTGCCAGGCAGGAGAGCATCATTCAGAAGCACAATTTGTTATGAAAAATAAATCCCTCTACCTTTCAGTGGAAGAGTGGAAAAACTTACCAGCTGCCCAATGGTTTAGAGGTTGAGGTTTGTGAGCTGTGTCAATGTTCTGTAAAGTTTCCGTAGTAGCCGTGTTGGAAGCCTTATCGGGCAAACACAGGTCTCCCTGGGTACTCTGGAAAGACCTGGCACACACACACCAGGTATTGTGGCCATGCGATACTGTTTTCACCGTAGGTGCTGGGTTTATTGGATGCTCTGAGCGGTGGTTTGCATGTGGTTGTTCTTTTATCAAAATAAGGATCTACGGCAGCCTGCCCTGGAGGACTGAACGGCAATGCTGGTGGCTGTGCTCTCCTAAAGCCTCCCTCCCGTTACTCCGCCTTAAAGAGGGCGGCGAGCAGTTGTCCTTGTCATGCCTGTGGTGGCAGTGACATCC